GATAAAGACTAACTACCTAATCAATTGATTCGCCATCCTTACCTATTACCTGTTTCCTAACAACTGCACCACTTATCCGATAATCCCAGCATATACGGGCAATGCTTCGAAGACATTTATCATCGAATACTAGTAACTCACGACATATGACATAATACATTCAACATTAAACTTAAAGCATTTCATTGATGAACGTGTCCAATTTTTTATTCAGTTAAAAATGTACGGAAAAAAAGTAAAGAAAAGAAAAGAAAAACTATTTAGATAATAATTTTAAAGAGAGAAAAATCTGATTTGTTTACATTAATTTTCTTTTTTTTTTCTTAGTTTTTTCGAATTTTTACAATGAACAAAACTGGTCTAGAGATAAGAGTAGAAAAAAGAAGGAAATAAAAAAGAGTCATTTAAGTAGTATATTTCTCAGTAATAAATAATGAATTATGACGTCATATATTTATTGTCTACAAAATGCCAACTCTTCTTCTGTATATAATAATTTGTATTATTAAGATAGATTTTATGTCTTAGAAATAAAAATGCATACATTTTAATGATTAAGATCATGAGTAGTCAGTTGATGTTAGATCACCATGGAAGGATTGGACGGTCAACTCTTCTTATTGTAGGACTCTTCAGCAGTGTAAATCCACGATTCCACTTTGCGAGATTCTAACCTGTCAGTATAGTGGGCGGGAGCTTAATTTCTAGACCACTCAGCCGATCGGCATCCAATGGTGTTAATAACTAACTTCAACTAATCCACGAAATTGAGTGACACATCCACTATTGTCTTCAGTCAGTTACTATCTCACAACAGATCAGGTTGAAATACACTGATCACTGCTTCTCATTAGAACTCCAGTATATACATCTTGAAGCCAGTCACTAGTGAATATATGCTGATGAATATCAGAAGGGGTTTTTGTAGATATTATAATAATTTTAATGGTTGAGATCACATGAGTCAATTGAAGCCAGACCATCATGGAAAACCTGGGAGATCTAGATTATTTAGAGGGAATATTGATCAATTGTTTCATTATAGATTATCATTCTATAATAATCCACCCTAATGGGTACGATATGATAGATTGAACATTCAAATCTTTAGATCTCATAGTGAGGATAGTTTAGAGATTATAGTCAGTTTTTTTGTATAATAACATGATCAATTTAGATGTTATGGAGATTGTTAAGTTTTTGATTGAGATCATGAACCAATTGATATTAGACTACCACTGAAAACCCGGAAGCATTGGACGGCCGTTTCGTCCAATTGTGTGACTCCTCAATAGGAAGAAACGGCCGTCCAGTGCTTCCGGGTTTTCAATGGTGGTCTAACATCAATCGGTTCATGATCTCAATAACAACATGATGTTTACACAATTTACTTTGGAATTTTTTGTTTTACATATTTTCGAAGTGATTTAGACTAAACAGAGGAAACTTTGACTTTTAACTTATTCTTCGATTGTTCATCATTTGTACTTGGTTCGTGACCAATATTAATCATTTCTCATTTTAGTATGACCCATTTTTTTAAATATGACTTTTAAAGTAATTAAATATGTAGTGTTACATTTATTTTAAAATGTAATGATTATTTAATAATCTTAGATGGAGAGTGCTGGTAGGCGGCCTATACTCCTCCAAGAGGAGTAACAGGTATAATTAAGTTGGTAAGTAATCTCGGATCTATATTGATGAGGAATCCTATGTAGTAGACCAAGATCTTACTCCGTTTGGATTATAGGATGATTATTATTGAAATATACATATCTTCAATCCTTGCATAGAATTATCAACTTAAATCGCGTTAGTGAATGATGGAATGAAATAAGTCAAATACGAGAATGACTTTCGAATCTATGTATTTAATACAATTGTTGATCTGAAAACAGACAAGCAGAATCACAACGATGCGAGCGACGAGGAAAGAGAGAAGCGAAACTAAGTGACGCTCAGTGGAGAAGGAGAGTGAGCCAACTCCATTTAATCAAGCGTCGATTGGTATTTCTAGCCAAACAAAAATAAATTACAGATATGTGATAAGTTAGGAAATGCACATACACACACATACGCTTACGTAAAAACAGTCAAGGGTGATAGACAAATAATTAACAAGGTCAAAATGTGACTCTACAAGAATGAATGGATTGACCTGTCTGGGAGCTATAATAAGCTATGTGGGCATAACATAGCAACCGACACTACATCTATACACAGTAGTCTAGTGCTCCTAAAATTTGAATGATATCCCAAATGAGGTTGATTTTGAACAAATTCCATCTGTGAATTAAATGACTTTCCAAAAACGCTCTAAACCAAAATTATGTATATTAATGTAAAGATCTGATATTTAAATCGTTTAATAGTATAACATCACAAGATTGTATAATTAATCAAATCTGTATACCAATGTATATCACGTTACTAGGACTTGACTTATCTAAATTTAGTAATTTCCAAATGAAATATCTAATTATTCATCTAATCATTATACTGTATTGAATAACAAAAACATATTTAAACAAAGATGGATAGTGGCTAGCATTGGAATCTAGGACGCGTGTTTCGTCCTATTTGGGACTTGTCAGATGGATGTACTTGCATGTCAAAGTAGATGTTCACTCCGGGACTCGAACCCAGTACCATTCGTTTTAAAGGCTGGGTTTGCTCAGGCACTGGAGTGAACATCAAATCTGAGATGCAGGTATCGCCAGCTGACGTGTCTCGAATAGGACGAAACGCGCTTTCTGGATCCCACTGCTAACCACTACCGACCTTTGCTTATAATGCTTGTGAGTTTAGGCAATATCGGGGCAATCCACACTGGATGTATATATGCCAATAAGAGACTGATCAATAGTAGTCCTAAATAACTATCGGAAGGTTCAAGTAAACAATACTAAGTGAATTTGAAAACATAATTAGATTGATTATATGAGGGTAATATTTCAGAGAGTTTTTATTGAAACTATTTAAATCTTGACCCAATGTTGATGAAACTGGATAACTACACAGTCTATATAATGCACCATATATGTAAACTGATGTTCAGAAAAAGATATTCAGTGTTGATACCTTGATCATACTGTAGTGAACAGAACACGAGTGGGGACAAATCCATGTACTTAACATAAAATTACAGGACTTGTTAATAAAATCAAACAATCATAAGGTAAATGCTCAATTTGCAAAATGTCCACCAACTGTCTCATAATGACTCAGACTTCATTGTTCTTGCACTTGCATACCAATTGCATTCTGTTTTCATTCTTTACTGTTTGATCCTCTTTTCTCTCTGCTGTCAGACCTTCAGTTCACGACTAACATCATATACTATTTATGTCAATATAAGTAGCACGCACCACAATACAATTCTATTACTGGCTATTTATGTAAATAGGATAATAATTGTATTGTTATATTTGAAAATGCTCATTTGTACAAATAATAACTTTGTTACTTCAGAGAAGTCTTGAAGGTAGACTTATTAGTTATCAAGTCACTATACTACACAAATATATTTCTACCGATGCCCAACTCTATCCACTGAAGAAACATTTAGTGGCAGGAAATGGTCGAGCGAAGCTTCATTACTAACTACTGTCAAGACAGTATCATGTGAAGAAGACAATCAAATAAGAGGATAAGTCAGATTGGAATGATGATTATATCAAACTCCAGACTAACTCCACCATAGATTAAGCAGGTTATTGGGAGATATGGATTTCAGCTAGCTGTAGAACTCAAAAAAGTTGATTTTGTCCTATTTCTTACTAGTTATCTTGATCCACTTTCATCCCACTATTAGTGTTGATTCTGAAAATCAAGCACATTAATCCAATATCTAACTGTTTTTCTAGTCAAACCGGTGTCAACAGTTATCGATATGCATCTTTACAAGTAAATGTATGTCGGGACAGTTGATAGTTAAATGGTATTCTTGAAGTCAAAGACGAATAGGGTTGTTAATTGTTCGGCACAAGATCTTTCAAAGTTAAAACAATTATTCTCATAGATGATTTTCAGTTTTTCCCTCTTTTGTTTTCCCATCTTCATGCTTGCGTCATATTTATTGAATTTTGTTATTAACAATTGATGGTACTACTGAATGCTTTTAATCCACTTGACCTTAGACATTTAGCGATATGTTATTTTAACCGGACGTAGGCTCTCATTTCCATTCTACCAATGTAACTACATTGGCAAATACATTTAAAATTATATACGGAGTTGGTAGTAACATGTACGGTATACCTATTGACCATTGCTTATGTTAGAGAACATGTTGGTTTGGACCGGACAATCAGTTTAGCTGTAGGATAAGTTCTTGTCAATGCAGTTTAGAGTCTCATATTGATTGACCCTGTGACATCATTGGCTTTGCATTTAAGTTAAATAAAAATACGTTTTTTATTTACTATAGTTTTATCGAGTTTTGTATATTTCTCAATAAATTTCAGTGGATATCCGTTGTTCGTATTTAACATTCATTGATTCTTCTTCTATTGTATCTGCAGTACATATTCTTTCTGTTCTGTGAAGAAGCAGTGTTTTGTAACTGATTGAAAAAAAGCTATTGAAATCGAGATAAATCCCGCTCCATGTGTCTTTCCTATAAACCGAATGTTGAATTCTGTCATCCTTCCTTTGTTTTACTGCGATACTCAGAAAATGGAACTTCTTTTCATTTTCATTTTATATATTAAAGTGGATATTTGGATTGGCTTCGTTGAAACGTTCTAGCAGATTTGTTGTATTATAAGCAAAGATAGATAGTGGATAGCAGTGGAATCCAGAACACGCGTTTCGTCCTATTCGGGACTCGTCAGTTGGATATACCTACATCTCAGAGTTGATGTTCACTCTGGGACTCAGCACACACCACAATATTATATAAATACCTATTTCATAACCAAAATATTTCAAAATTATTTTTCTCTTATTTTCTTTCTTTTTTTTAAAATTTTTTCTTTTAATTCTCTTCTATTTAGTTATTGAAAAACAATCATTTTACAAATCATGGAAACAATTAAATTCTAGTTTAGTAACTATTCAATCATTAAATAATATAATAGAATTAATTCGATGGTCAGAAGTTTTATTAACATTAGCTAAATTAGCTAGTTCAGCGATAGCAACAATGTTTGGATTAATTTATTTCTCTCTGGTAAGAATTAAATACTTTTTTCTGTTTGTTTGTTTATTTGTTATTAACATTGATAATAATAATGTGCTGTATGTTTTATATGTTGATAGATATAAGTAGTATCAGAAGTAGAATGCCTGATAGTAAAAAACTGAAAAGATCTAATCAAAGAGAATAGAAAGGATAACAGAGAGAAATTCGAATTATAGATCACCAATGTAGATGATCAATGTCAAATGATTATGGGCCGATTAGAGTTAGATGCGAATGGTATGACGAATCAACTAACGTTGAAGTCACACCTCTCGGGCAACACGTTACGTGGATTACCCCCATCGATATATTAAGATACTAGAGATACTCTGAAGAATGTACAACACAAAGGACGTTATTACAGAAATATATTATTTAAAGTAGATACAAGCGAAAGTATGACCACCGTTGCATGGGCCAGTCCATAGCGTACGATTAACTGATGCGCGTTGATTGTCCTTAACCTTGACAATGATCGATGATCTGATCGATATTCAGTGACTTAACTGCATGATGATTTTGTTAGGGCTCAGTGATATTTCACAGAATTGGATGAATTATGAGGTATGTAAAGGAGAACTAATAAAAGATGTGCAAATAATGTATTTAATGTATAGTGTGGTCGTCGGTATTCAATATAATCCTTAAACTTTGTATGCAATTCGTCCTAATAACCGTCACTTGATAACGCCTCAACAGTGTATTAAACAGAAGATGAATACGAAGTGTTGATTACGTTTATTATTGCATCACGCACAGATCACCAAAATTACAGGTACGTTAAACAAACATGAAAGAGTAGTTCTGAAAAGCAAGCGGGCAAGTAAGTGAGCGATTAAGCGTGTGAGTCGAATGAGCAAGTCAATGAACAGGATCAAAATGTATATATGTATTACGTAGTGAGATGAACGAATCATCGAATCAATTGAGCGACTGCTGTGATGAACCAGTCGAGTTATACCGGCAGGAACAATCGTCCCTCAAGGTCCTACCATGCCAGCCAGGTCGGTTGAAGAATGGTAAGACTAAAAGCAGCAAATCCAAGGTGCGATGGCGAAGTCATACTGTTGACTGTACAGAGGTTTGACGGCAGTAAAGTGTTTCCTTCAGACAATCAACATAACAGCAATGCTGCCTTCCTCCTTAAGTGTCACTATAGCCAACGATTCTAGTGCGCAGAATACTGTCCCATGTCTACTGAACCCTCGCTCCAAACTACACATTGGAGCCTTCAACGTACGCACCACAAGTCAAATCGGTCAACAGGCCTCCTTGACTGAAACATTAGAATCTGAGCCATGTTGGTAGATGCAGACTGCTTGGTTGGGGTGCATGTGAATATCGTAACCAATGGTTGGAGACTCTGGATGACATTGCTCAGGATCGATCACAATGGTGTCAGTGTATACACTCTCTTTCTTCCCTTAAACTATCAGATTAAAATTGCTTTATATCTTTCTTTCTACCAACTAATTCTTTCTTCCTGTATTATATCCTTATACACAATCTTTCATTTATACATTACTACCATTGTTATAACTACTTTCATGAATTCGGTGTTCATCTTGTTGTGTTAATGAGGCATGGCAAATTGGACCGATGCATATATGTGCCTAGTCCTACGTTGTAGCTGACTGAATGACTGATTTAAATATATTGATCACTCAAAGGTTACGCGTTTTATCCGCTCAAAACGTTGGACACCATTCTTAAAAATGTGAAGTGAAATCTTGTGAATAATCGTTCGATTAATGAATATCTATTGATAACTAACCTATTACATAATACTAATCTTATCATATTCGTATAACCAGATTTGAAATGTACCTTTGGGCAATAGAAATTTAATCTCATTAGCTACAATCTCTCTATTACTTTGATCAAAGAAGGTAGAATATATTACAACAAAAAAGTACACTCTAAAACATGATATTATGGATTAAACTAGGCTAATCAATATGGAAACAATTATATTAATGACATAAGAAATCGGTATGAGATATTGACTTTTCAAGATAGCAATACAGAATTATCAATATTTTGACAAGGATTAAAGATTATACATAGTGAGAAAGGGATTTTTCGGAGATTGAAGCTAGACCACCATGGAATATCTGAAAGTACTGGACGACCGTTTCATCCTAGAATCTCGCGGAGCGGGACTGTGGATGCGCACTGCTGAGGAGTTCCATACTAGAATGCTTTAGGTCATAAATAACAATGGAAAGATACAAATAAACAAACACTAAGTGAATTTAAGCCTGGTTGGTAGTTGAAAGAAAATGGTTAACAAATGCTTACAAAGTACTTGTGTATTTCTTTCCTTCACATAATCTTTTATGCTAAATATATATGACGACTAATGTTGAGATGGATTTCTTCAAGTTATAATACAATGATGTGGTTCATCAAATCATCTTATTCATTAGTAAGACAACAATTCAAGAAAAAAATCTGACGACATTATAAGTCTCATAAAATCTAAAAAATGTATCTAACACTGACGTTCAGCCATCTAATACACTATTGAACTGAAGAGTCTATATTCTTTCCAATGAGGATTTGTGAGTGAGAACATAACAAGTACAGTCTTGTTTTAAGTTATTTTTCAACTGATATCAATTTATCATGTCAAAAATTATATGATCATTAAATGAATCTTTAATGACCTGATATCTGACTCCATTTGGATTGTATGAATGTACACATGTCGGTGATCCTCGTATATTTCATCGATTTAACCCGCGTTATTGATATATATGTATATTGTACAATCATTGATTCAAGCAGACGATCAAAGGAACAAAACACAACGATGCTCAGTGGAGAAGGCATGTGAACCAACTCCTTTTATTCAAGCGTTAATCAATATTTATAGCCAGATAAAAATAAGTTACATGTAGTGAATAGGATAAGCAGTGTACACACTCACACACGCTCATATAAAAAAAACACTCAAGGTTGATAAGTGGAATAATTAACAAGATCATAATGTCGCTTAAGAACAATGGATAAATTGGCTTGTCCAAAATCTAGAATAAGTTTTATTATATGCTTAACATAGTAACCAATACTATCAACCCTTTAAAAACGCTAAATCTTTGAATAAATAAAAATCAACCGATAAGTTGATCAAATATGAATTGAATTTATTCATGGGATCACAATTAGAACATACAATTAACACATTTATTCAACAATCTGTTGTGTGTGTGTGTGTGTTCTCTTTCGATTATTAATTGTTCTTCTTTTTCTTCTTTTTTTTCTTCTCTATATTTCTCTATAATTTCTATTTCTTTTTAACTCTAGTTGTCAATATTTAACTAGTTGTCATATTTTGCTTGGTTTCTAACGTGAATGACAGGTTTTTTTGGGTGGGGTGGGGTGGGAGGGGGTTATATGATAAGAAGTAACTATGTTATGTCATTACCATTTTAGATAAAGAGAATTTGTAATAACAGTGATAATAATAATAATATTATTATTATTATTATTACTATTAACTATTGTTCCCCTATTCAACCTATTCATATATTTATTATAATACCACATGATGTATACAAATGAACAGTATCTTTCATTCCCTACAGCTGCCTCTTATTATTATTATTATTATTATTATTATTATTATTATTATTATTCATATTACCATTGATCACATCAAGGGGAAGAAACAACTTGAAAATTCAACATAAATAGCGCGGGAAGAACAAGAAGAGAAACGAATTTAACTGTTCGAAAAAAAATATATAAAAATAAAATAAAATATGTCATCACAATAGATTTATGCATAAATATAAACAAAGTTGTACAAAAAACAGTTAGCAATTATCATTGAATTATATGTAAACATCTATTATTATTATTATTACTACTTTAGGAAGTAAACATTCAAAGTTATTATCAGGAAAGGGGGGGGGTTGTGGTAATTTATTAGTTGAATTCATGAGGTAATTGGAACTAGATTATCATGGATAATTTGAAGGTATTCGATAGTTAGTTGTTTTATTCTAGTATGAGACTCCTGAATAGTGTACATCTGTTTGTAGGATTCAAACTCAGAAGCTATCAATTCGCGTGCACACAAACATTTAACCACTAAATCATTTAGTCGATAGCTAACAATGTTTTTATCTAATTTTTGATTGAAATCATGAACCGATTGATGTTAGACCACTATTGGGTTCGAATCTCGCGAGGCAGGATCGTGGATGCGCACTTATGAGGAGTCCCACAATAGAATGAAATGGCTGTCCAGTTCTTTCAGGTTTTCAATGGTGGTCTAACATCAATCGATTCATGATTTCAATCAAAAGCTTAACAATCTCCACAACCACTAAACTGATCTTATCTAACTATTCTACTTCGTTGTTTTATAAAAAAATTAATTTATTTCAAAATAACTAATTAATCATATTCTGTTATGAAGTTCAGAAGAAGAAGAAGAAGAAGGGGAAAGAAAAGAAAGAAAAATCATCCAAGATTTTTGTATTTTATCAATTACATAATTAATCATTATTTAATTAATTTGTGAATTGAATGAAATGAAATAATCACATGTCTATAAAAATTGCAGTTTTAAATACTTTGTACAAGTTATAACAATAGTAATTGAATGGAATATTCTATAGCCTACTGATTGTTATTCCTTATTAAAAGTTAATCTAATAATTGAATAACAATAAAAGGTATATCAACAATTGAGATCATGAGTCAATTGAAGCTAGACGGCCATAGAAAACCTGAAAGCACTGGACGGCCTACTCATCCTATTGTGGAACTCCTCAGTAGTGCACATTCACGACCACGCCTCGCAACATTCGAACTCAGGACCTATCTGTCTTGCGCTAGGCGCTTAACCAACTAGACCACTGAGCCAGCCGGTATCCAACGGTGTTAGTGCCTAACTACAACTAATCGATGAAATTGAGTGACACATCCACTATTGTCTTCAGTCAGTTACTATCTCACAACAGACCTGGTTGAATTCGACTGGTCACTGCTTCTCCAGGATATACCTCTTGAAACCAGTCACTAGTGTGTATATGTTGATTAGTATCAGAAGAGGTTTTGTGGACATTGTAGTAGTAGTCCTGAGTTCGAATACTGCAAAGAATATCGTGGATGTACACTGCAAAGGAATCTCATACTATGACGAAATGACCGTCTGGCGCTTTCACGTTTTCCACGGTAGTCTAGCCCTAATTAACTCATGAATTTAACTATTAAATTACTACAATCTCCATAAAACTCCTTTCTGATAATTATAAATATGAGAAGCAGTGACCAGAAGAGTTCATTCAGATCTGTTGTGAGGTAGTAATTCACTGAAGACAATGGTGGATATGTCACTCAATTTCGTGAATTAGTTGAAGTTAGACATGAACACCGTTGGATGCCGTACGACTCAGTGATCTAATGGTTAAGCACTCGCGCGCAATTCCGATAGGTCCCGGTTTTGTATCTCGCAAGGTGGGATCGTAGATGCGCATTGCTGAGGAGTTCCAGGTTCTCTATGGTAGTCTAGCTTTAATTGACTCATGATCTCAACTATTCCAGCTAGAAATGTATATATTTCCATCCTGAAATATTCCGTTTTATATATATAATTATGACAGTGACTCATCAACTTTTATTTTCTTCATTTCATAAGTGGTAAAACGATGAAGTTTTTTGTTTTGTATACATTTTATTTCATTGAATTGAATTTTGTTTTAATTTTTAGAGACCGCCAACATTAATTGCATTTCCTATCATAGCAATTATCTCATTTGTATTTTGTTATTTTATTTCAAGTGTTATACTTGCCACTTTACAAGTAAGTAATGCTCTTATATTAGTTTGTTTTGTGTGTGATAAACTACTTAAAACTACTGAATAGAAAAATGTCTACAATCATAAATTATTTATTTTAATTGAAAATGAGGTGATTATGTAATAATTTCACTTTCGGACAGTTATAATAGTTAAGTTGATGTATACCTCATTAATGATTCATTTTGAATACTTAGAAACTGTGTTGAATGGTAAACGGATATATTAGTCATTATAGAAATTAAGCTTAAAGGTAAGGTGTTGAGTATTCTAAAGGACGATCGTTTCGTCCTATTGTGGGACTCCTCACCAGCGTGTATCCACGATCTCGTTCGCGGGATTCGAACCTGTGGCCTCCAGTCTCGTGCGCGGACGCCTAATCTCCAAACCAGTGAGCCGGCCGGAATCTAACAGTGTTACTGTCTAACCTCAATCAATCTGCAAAATCGCGCGACCGTCTTCCATTGAACTGAAGTAGATACCTGTCTCTATCCGACATGGATTATCTCCACTGGTCACGGCTTCTCACAAAGCTAGTCTCACGAACGGGATCGTGGATGAGCACTATTGAGAAGTCCCACAATAGTACGAGACGGCCGTCCAGTGCTTACAGGTTTTCAAAGGTAGTCTAACATTAATCGGTTCCTGATCTCAATGAAAAACATAATAATCTCCACAACCCTATATTGATATTCTAAAGGAGACATCACAGAGTTCAGTCATTAAAAGAAGAAAATGAAACATCGACGATTGAAACATCTCAATGGAATAAAATTTAAACCTTAATTAGATATTTTAGTTTAGTAGTTCCATGAGAAATATGAAATTCTAAGATGGCTGTACCAATCCAATCACAATTGACGGGAAGATTTGGAAGATGTAAAAACCTTTACATATTTGAGCAGCATCATTGATGAACAGGGTGGATCTGATGCATATGTGAAGGCGCGGATCGGCAAAGCAAGAGCAGCATATTTACAAATGAGGAACATCTGGAGCTCAAAGCAACTGTCAACCAACACCAAGGTCAGGATTCTCAATACAAATGTCAAGACAGTTCTACTGTATGGAGCAGAAACCTGGAGAACTACGAAAGCCATCATCCAGAAAATACAGGTGTTTATTAACAATTGTCTACGCAGAATACTTCAGATCCATTGGCCGGACACTATTAGCAACAACGTACTGTGGGAGAGAACAAACCAGATCGCAGCGGTGGAAGAAATCAGGAAGAAGTACTGGAAGTGGATTGGAAACACATTGAGGAAATCACCCAACTGCGTCACAAGACAAGTCCTCACATGGAATCCTGAAGGTCAAAGGAAAAGAGGAAGACCAAAGAACACATTACGCCGAGAAATGGAAATAGACATGAGAGAAATGAACAAGAATTAAATGGAACTAGAAAAGAAGGCCCAGGACAGAGTGGGCTGGAGAATGCTGGTCGGCGGCCTATGCTCCATTGGGAGTAACAGGCGTAAGTAAGTAAGTAAGATGACTGTTATTCTGGTGTTACAGATAGCTAGTAGTTTTAGTATCAACACCCCTATAAACATAAAATTATCCATTTTCTTTATAAATTCTTAATATACACTTGATCTAACAATGTCCATTTCATAACTATCAGTTGAATTAAATGATTTAATCTTGGATATTAATTTCAAATAAGTATTGCATACACATGTGCTTCATTGTTTAAGCAAAACGATTTGAAGATGTTTTAAATCAAATAACTTCCACTAGCAAATTGAAATACACTGTACAAAACAGTTTAAATAATTACTTTAACTAAGTAGATAACGCAATGATGTTCCAATTGAATGGTACTGGGTTAGAGACTTGGAGTGAATTCCAGGATTCTGAGATGTAGGCATATCCATAGGACGAGTCCCAAATAAGATGAAACGTGAGTCATGGATTTCACTACTAGGCAATATTTATCTTAGTGAGTGTTTGAGTTGGTTGGTTATTGATATTCAGGAATGAATTTTGATTATCTCTTAGTTGGTATAGGTGCACCACTGTACATACTGATTCGATTAAGTCACTATATCAAAAGTTAATAAGAATAGATAGATTATGAATAATATTGCAGAGATTTTCTTTAAAAACATCATACCCATTTAATAAGTTAATGGTTAAACGGAGTCATTAACTCGTTGAACAGCACATTAGCAGTTTTTTAACAGAAGGGGTTTTTGTGGACATTGTAGTAATTCAATAGTTGGATTCATGAGTCAACTAAAGCTAAACCACCATGGAAAACTCAGAAGCACCGGACGGTCGTTTCGTCATAGTGTGGGACTCTTCAGCAGTGTACATCCACGATCCCGCTCTCGGGGTTCGAACTCAGGACCTGTCGGTCTCGAGTGTGGACGCTAAACCTCCAGACCATTAGACCGGCATCCAGTGGTGTCAATGTCTAACGTCAACTAGGTCTGTTGTAAGATAGTAACTCACTGAAGACAATGGTGGTTGGTGGCACATTAGCAGTTTCTTATGTTTCTGAGTTTCGATTTGATCATTGATACTACAAAGTGTAGATAAATTCCGAAGTTAAGTATCAAATATAACATAATGATAGTCTTAGTTTCCCTTGTTAGCTATAATTCACTTTACCTAACATTGTTCTTTCTATTCTGTAGCATATACTATCTACAATTGTAATTTGTTATTGTTTACAAGAATGTAAATTTGCTGAAGATGAACTATTTGGTCGTGAATCTAAATTTATTTTTCGGCATGAAAATTTCAAGGTAAAAATTACTCCTTTTTAGTTTTGTTTTTAAATATTATTGACATAGATATTATGAAAACTGGATGTAATAAGGTTAGAATTTATCCGTATAACAAACGTTTTCAGTGGTCTAAAGTTATTGGGTTATTGATTTATACCAACCATAGACAGTTGCATGAGAATAGATATAACACGTCGTCATCATTACCGTTGTGCTAAGATACCAAAAAACGAGATTATTGATCTTTCAATCTAACGCTGGCTATTTAATTAGGTTTTAAGATCACAAGCCATTACTAATATCTGAATGTTTGGTTTTCTGAAAATAATCAAAAAGCGTTCGATATTATTCATCTTTTACTTCGTTAGTGTTTTAGTCAATGGCAAGAGCCTAGGCAGAAATGACAAGGAGACAATAACAACAACCCAAAACTTTCCTACTTTTTTTCTCTATCAATTAGTTTAACAACATATAAGAGACTGTTATCTGAAATCCATATAAAGAGTCTTCGTTCTGGCTTCACACTCATTACTTCATCTATTCTGATTGAACAACGGAAAGGTAACACTGAGTCTTCAGATACCTAAAAGCCGCATTCCTACAAATGAAGAACATATGGTTTAGTGGTCCTATATTTGACTCCAATTAAATTGTATGAATGATTGTTATTGAAATACACATGTCGCCTATCCTCATATAAAATTATCGACTTAACTCGCATCCGTGAATAATGGAAATATATAAGTCGAATACGAGAATGGATTTTCGGATGCACATATTTTTCATACTCATTGATCCTGACAGATAATCAGAGGGACGAAGTGAAGGAAACGCAGAGATGAGAGTGAAGTGAAACAACGCCCAGTGGGGAAGGCGAGGAAGCCAACTCTTTTTAATCAATCGTGGATCCATATTTATAGTCACACAAAAATACGCTACAGACATGTGATGAATAGGATATACAGTATGCATACATACATTTATATAAAAAGTGACTCAAAAGAACGAATACATTGGTCTGTCCAGAAGCTAGAATAAGTTATATGGGCTTAACACAGTAAGCGACACTAAAATGGAACTCAAAACAACTCTCAACCAATATCAAAGTCAGAATCTTCAATACCAACGTCAAGGCAGTTCTACTGTACGGAGCTGAAACTTGGAGAACTACAACAACCATCATCAAGAAGGTGCAAGTATTTATAAATAGTTGTCTACGTAGGATACTCAACATCCATTGGCCGGATACCATCAGCAATAGCCTTTTATGGGAGAGAACACATCAGCTTCCAGCTGAAGGGGAAATTCGGAAAGACAATGGAAATGGATAGGACATACATTACGCAAATCATCAAACTGCATCAAGAGGCAAGTGCTAACTCGGAATTCTGAAGGGAAACGAAATGAGGAAGGCCAATGAACACAGTGCGTTAGAGATTGGAAACAGATTTGCATCAGATCGACCGTGTTTATCAATGGTGCTTTCCAGATATGTAAATGTTTTTACATCCTCCGAAGCTTCTCCGTCAAGTGTTACTTGATTGTTACATGCTATGTTGTATCGGAGAATCTTGCTTTTCCCTATGTGTATGTTGAGACCTACTGCTGCTGAGGCTGCTGCTACACTGGTCATCTTCTTTTGTATTTGTTGTTGAGTATGAGATAGGAAAACCAGATCATTTGCGAAGTCTAGATCGTCCAACTGCATCCCAGCTGTCCAATGTATCCCATGCTTCCCCTCAGATGTTGACGTCTTCTCCCCGCCCCCTCATCGAATTGTAGTTGATACAACTCAAATAAAAGTAAATACATGTATCTAATGAAGATAGACTTATTATTGTTCGACACTAAACAATGATTAAATGAACAGATCGTTATTAGGGGAAATGATTCATCATATTTTGTTCAAAGTTAAACAACCGATTGATAAGTGAAGGGATTCTTCAAAAAATAGATTCGTGGGAAGTTATTAAGATTCATATTAGATAAACATTTGATTAATGTGAACATTTTTTAGCTCTTTACTTATTTTCTAGTTTTTGTTTTAAATATGGCATTAGTCATCTTACATCAAAAGTATAAAAATCTACACATGTGCAATTAAAATTTGCTGATTTTCGTTGCCATGCCAAGGGTATAGACCAAAAAGCGCTTCAATCAATGTTTTGTAGTTAAAGGAAATTGGCAGGAAACTTTGGACTTAGGTTTCATAACAGCCTAACTTAAAACGTTTGAGATTCAATCCTTTCAACAGGATTCGAAGTATTATCAAACAATTCCACATAGTGAGACATTATCACATGGCTATTTGAACTGTAACTGACCTTATGTGAGATTGAAAGACAAATTGATTTCATCCTTGTTTAATCCTTATCGGTAATCGAATCTATTGCCACCTCAATAACTGATTGTTAACATCTCAGTCTGTGTAGCTGGGATATGTAAAGAGAAATCCATCACGGTTTGTCAGTTCCCTCAAGATTACAGATACATTTGGCTACAATGTACCTATTATCACATAACCTAGGTATAGGGTTTTCCACTATCGACCTCCAAACACTTAACATCTCAACAGTGTGCACGCGTTATCAATTCGCCTTGACTTATGACCACATTCCAACCTAATCAACAGAGTTTGACCATCACTAATGTGCTTAGTAATTTGATATCGCATTTATCAAGTTAAAACAAAGGTTATTTTATCTGTACTGTTTATAAGATTGGTCAAAGAGTAAAACCAACCTAATGAACTATTAAAAAGTCAAGTAATACAAGACATTTGTTTGTAATTTCTCACCGTTTCATGTTTCAACTAAACCTAGTCACTAAGTTGATTGACTGATTGAACAGTATAAACCGACAACTAGAACAGCATTCATTCAGACACTTTGTTCACATTTTCCACGTCAGTCATTGTTCAACGGTCATTCTTTTCTACTGGTTTATGAGCTTTAGAAACAATAAGATATTTATTATATATTATCACTTAACATTAAATACATACTAGCGGGGTGTATGCTACTTATGTCGACATAAGTAGTATATAACACCAATCAGAAAGGGAATGCATAGTTAGATGGTGATTGGAGATAGTCGACAGGAAACCCTGACGACCCGGATTTCGTGCTACTTGACACTCGTCAGCAAGGTGTACCTGTAACCTTGAGGGAACTGGTGCTCCGTGGCGAACTCGATCTCATGTCACCCAGATTCACAGTAAGAGACCTTACCACTGAGCTATCCGAGCTGCGACCGACCTCCTGTTGGACTGAGATGTAATCACAATTGATTGATCATTGGGTGGTGACCAATGTCATGTGGTAACGTCTCTGACTGTGAAGCTGGATGACACGGAATCGAATCCGTCAGGGAGCACCAGTTCCCTCGATATTACAGGTACACCTTGCTGACGAGTGTCAAGTAGAACGAAACCCGAATCCAGGGTTTCCTGTCGACTACCTCCAACCACCATCTAATCTCAATATATAGTGCCCGCAGTGTCGAGTCACCTAGACTGGTGGCCACATTGCAACATGATCGATAGCATTCGATCTGCATTAATAAGGACTAGACACGTATGACATTGATCGCCACCCAGTGATCAATCAATTGGGAATCCCTAGTATCAGGACGTTATAAAGATCGAATAAAAAAGAACGGAGACAGAGAATAATTATTATGGCAATGAAAGAATTTTGAGATAATTGATAGGGGATTTGTAAATGAAGTATTGAACTTATGGTTTTCACATTCTACCAAAGAACTACTTATATATCGACTATAAGTGTCATACACCATAGTACACTTACTTATCATCTATCCCATTTGATATGTATATCTTATAATTGATTGTATGTATTATTCTTTAACTTGACTTGTTCGATAACAAAATAATGTGTTACCTTTCATCATTGTCATCGTATTTATTCTCTATAATTCTATCAGTGTCATTTGGTCAAATTGTTAAATACCACCAATTCAAAGCCTAATACATTACGTAATGGATGTATAACAGATAAATTTCATAATCAATTATCTGATTCTTTTCAAAATTATCGAAATCTTGATATACAATGGATAGAGAATTCAGAGGATGATTATAGTGTAAAAGGATTTACATTGAATCCTCCATTACCAAAGAAAAAAATCATTTGTATACAATAATATTATGTAATGATTGTAAATTATTGTAATATTTCAACTTCTATTAACATATATATTCATTTTTTATAAGTCTAATGATACTACTACTACTACTACTGCTACTACTAATACTACCACTATCACCACCACTACTGATACTACCACCACCACCACTACTACTAATATTGCCAATACTACCAATAGTACTACTACGACTATAACTACTACTATTAATACTACCAATTATAATAACTATAATAAGACTGGTTAGTATTCATTTTCTATTCGATATAATGTATTCAAACAAATGATCATTATAATTTTTATAATAATCCATACGGAACATTATGTAATGAGATATACTAACTTATACTCATAGAGTGAAAAGACTTTGTAAAGTGTTTCCTCCTCCTCCTCCTCTATTACTACTACTACTACTAATAATAATAATAATAATAATAATAATAATAATAATAATTCATGATTATGTATCCATGCGCACATTTTCAACTTTTCCTCTTGAATCTTGACAAGTCGATTCGCAGAGTTGGATACAAAAAAACGTTTCCATTTTAAAGGATTTTTCTTTTATTTATTTATTTATTCATTTTGACTGTAAATAGGCTGACAGGTACTTTTCATTTTTTATTACATCTCTTGCATGATTACGTAACACATTTCCTTTTTAATCTGTTTTTTGTTTGTTTGTTTGTTTGTGTAAATTTAATGCATGGTATGATGTAATAACACAGTGTAATAAAACCTTATTTAAATTATTTACACTGATTATAAAAAAAGAAGCTTTAGGTAAGTAAACAATTTTAATAAAGTAACGGTACTAAGTGATGATCACTATCACAACCGTTGTTGCTACCTTGACGTAGTGGTCAGGCTTGCATATCGTGATGAACCAATCGAACTATACTGGCTGGAACAATCGTTCCTCAACGTCCTACCATGCCAGACAGGTTGATTGAAGAATGGTAAGACTAAAAGCAACAAACCCAAGGTCCGAAGTCGAATTCATACTTTTTGACTGTACAGAGGTGTGATAGCAGAAAGGTGTTTCCTTCAGACAACCAGCATAACAGCGATGTTGCCTTCCCACAAGGAGGGTGGGGTAACTATGTTCGAATTGATGTGTAGTGACTTTCCTTAGTTAATCCATCACCATTGTAACCGTCTTTATAAAAATCATAACGGTGTTTCAAATCAGAAAGCATTGAGAAACGGTAACTACAGTATATCACGCGATAGCGCTGATCATAAAGCTATAAGCACATCGAGCGAATTTGAATCGGAGAGGTGAATAAATATATGAGAGCAATTACATAGGCACATTTATAGTCAAATTGCATAAGGGCTCAGCAAGTTTAAAGTAAAAGCTAATAATAGAATCTGAGTACACATGTGTGTGCCACTTATATTGACATAAGTAGTATATGATGTTAGTCGTGAACAGAAAGTCTGACAGCAGAGAGACAAGAGCATCGAACAGTTAAGAATGGAAACAGAATGCAATTTGTATGAAAATGCAAGAACAATGAAGTCTGAGTCATTTTGAGACAATTGGTTGACATTTTGCAAAATAGGCATTTACTTAATGATTGTTAGATTCTATCAACAAGTCCTGTAATTTTGAGTCAGATATATATTCGATTGTCCCCACTCGTGTTCTGTTCACTACGCATACATACATAGGGAGAAAGATGAGTCACCGAGTGATATTTAGGTAATCAACCACTTAAACTAAACTCTGTCATGCGATCTAGTGATTATTACAGTACAAAAAAATGTGCGAACTGTTACTGTTCAAGTAACATTGTCTGTTAAGTAAATTAAAAGGGTTTCATCAAAGTGAACGATAATCGAAATCGGTTGTAAGATAATTGCTACAGATCATTGATTGGGTATGGTTTTATTTGTTTTCCTGAAAGACTAATACATGATTGAATCCTATCGTATATTCACTTTTTCCATGGTGGTTTAACTTCATAAATTCAACTATTAAATTACTACAATCTCCACAAAAAACCCATCTCTGATTTTAAAAAAAAATCCATTGGAAATGTTATTACTCTAAGGTTTATGGATTTGTTAGAAATAGATTAGTAGAAATAGTTTCAAGTTTAATTTCCACAGTGATTTAATCTAAATACAATCAAATAGCATATCGAGATTTCAATGTAGTCAATATGTGATGTGTGCTACTGATATCGACACAAACAAGTAGTATGTATCATCAGTCTAAAAGTGAAATGCCTATAGGCAGAAGGTTAAGAAGATCAAAGAAAAGAGAACGAGTACAATGAATGATTGGCGTGAAATTGAAAGAACAATGAAGTCTGAGACGATTGATAGACATTTACAAAAGGAACAGTCAAATCTGAGACAATTGAGGGATATTTAGCAAATGAAGTATTTACTGTATGGTTCTCAGATTTTAATAAGATGTTCTGTAATTTTGTATTCACATATATTTGCTTGTTCCCAGTGATGTTTTCGTTCACTACAATAATAATGAGTCGTTAATCTAATAGGACTCAAGTTCTCGTATGATACTGTCCGAAAAATCGATAAAATTAACTGGACGATGGATAAGTTCTAATGATAAATGACGATCTTAAAATGAATGTAATATAATTGATATTAGCTGGATTACGATAGTTGGCATTCAAATTATGAGTCATTTTTTATCCGAATTCTTTTGATGATACAGTTGAATCAATGAAGAGTATAATCTTGAGATAGTGGAGAAGATTTGTAGCTCAGGTGGATGATTTTGGCTTAGTTTTGTTCTCTGACCAAGCCATCCAGCTCAGAGAACAAACCTCCACCAAAAAGAGTATAATCTACAAAGTTATACAATCCTTTCATCGTCATATAATATATTGATCAAGCTTAAAGTTTTGTTCACTCAAATGGATAAAGTGAAATCTATTCCGAAGTTCACCAAAATTCACTTTGCTATAACTCCATAAAGCCCAGGACAGGGTTGGATAGAGAATGCTGGTGAGCGGCCTATACTCCCTCACGAGGAGTAACAGGCGTAAGTAAGTATTAACTCAATAAGACGTTAAATTTCCAATCTGATTTGTTTGCTTGACAATAAACTCACCATATTACTATGGTAAATTTGAGGATACATACATGATAGAGTAGTATGTCAACTGTTTTTTCAAACAATAATTTAGAAAACACAGTAACCAAATTAAACTTCCCCGTCAATTCAGTGGATCCATATTTAAAAACAAATCCTATTTTAGATTCAGAAACTTTTGTTACGTTGTCACAGCAACACATGGTGTGTTTCTCAATCCACATCAAAAGAATGAACTTTTTAATCTACAAACATTGTCTGTCGTACATAAATAAAAATAAAATAACTGGGAAAGATGGATAATAGTGACTGATCTGTCATGATCATGAAGATTCCGACATTTTACAACATCCCCCTTATCTATTGACTATAAATATAGAATCCTGTGAAATTGCTAGAATACAAATTTAACTGAAAAAGAATTAAGAAGTGTTGATGAGCATAAATTGGACACTATCACCACTGGATGCCGACTCAGTGGTTCAGTAGGTTAAGCGTTCGCTCGCGAGACCGAAGGCCCTGGGTTCGAATCCCGTGAGCGGGTTCGTGGATGTGCACTGCTGAGGAGTCCCACGATAGGACGAAACGGCCGTCAAGTGCTTCCAGGTTTCCAAAGGTGGTCAAGCATCAATCGGTTCATGATCTCAATCATAAATTAGTATGTTGTTTTTTCAGAATAGAAAGAATGCATTGGGTTTAATTCATGAAAAGTATGATTATAAATAAACTCAAGTTATAAATCATTTACTTGGTTACAATGAGATCATCTTCTTATTTGATATAGATTGAATATTAACGCTACATCTTCATTTGAATTAAACTCTGAAGAAACAACTAAAGGTTTATTCACCTGGAAATTATTTACAACCAAATCTACTAGAAGGTTCTTCAGTTCTTAACGAGTAATATATTGCATAAACATTTCACTTGTTAAAATAGATGAGTCAATGACGTAATTAAATATTGTAAATTACCAAATAAATACTAAAAGAAATTCAATATAATAACAGTAAGAACATCTGGAACTCAAAACAACTCTCTGTCAACCAACACTAAGGTCAGGATTTTCAATACAAATGTGAACACAGCTCAACTGTATGGGGCAGAAACTTGGATAATTACGAATGCCATCATCCACAAAATACAGGTGTTTATTAACAATTTTCTATGCAAAATACTTTGAATCCGTTGACCGAACACTATCAGCAACAACCTACTGTGGAATAGAACAAACCAGATTCCAACGGAGAAATAAATCAGGAAGAAGAGCTGGAAGTGGATAGGACACACATTGAGGAAATCACCCAACTGCGTCACAAGACAAGCCCTCATCTGGAATCCTCAAGGTCGAAAGAAAAGAGGAAGACCAAACAACACATTACACCGAGAAATGGAGACAGACATGAGAAGAATGAACAACAATTGAATAGAACTGGAATAAAAGTCTCTAAACATGAATATATTGGAGAATGCTGATCATCGGCCTATGCTCCGTTGTAGGTAACAGGCGTAAATATGTAAGCAAGTAACAATAATAACATCTGATTTATTGATCAGTAGACTATTGTCTAAAGTACATTTATAAACCAGCTCAATTTTGATGATTGAAACTGAATAAAAATAGCTTCATTGCCGTATAATTTTATATTTCACAATTTTAATTCTACCTAAAATAACAAATCAAAGAAGTAAAGACAAACAAGAATGAAAGTGGAAGTTACATTTTTTATTATCTAAAATAAATTATGGTTCATTCATTTTAGTTTGTACAAGAAAAAACAAAGTACAAAATCAAACTGTGTTTTTTTTCTTTCTTGGCAAATTGATCCAGAAAATGTATCTGGATACACGTGTTTGAAAGGATAAAAAATAATGAATGTTTCTGGGAAAGGTATAGTAAAACAACAAAAAAAAGGAAAGA